GAAGACCTGCAGCCATGCCCTCGATGGCAAGCTCGCTGGGAACTGCCTTACCATGGTGTCCGTCACTGACAGCTGTCCTCTGACTCGAGGACTGCTTCCCAAGTATGCCTCCTTGCAAGGGTGGTATGCCCCAAGTGACTGGTGAATGCTGGGATGAAGCCCCAGCCCCCATGGCTCAGTTTGGCTGGACGCTGAAGGGTCACCCTAGCTCCCGTGGAACCCACAGACGGTGCCAATAGTGCTTATGGAACTAGCGAGAGTCACCCGTGTGGGCAGGCCAGCCACAACACTAGAGCGCTGACTCGTGAGCCCCACGGCATTTATCACGCTTGTCAGGTCTGTGGGATTTTTTAACTTGAAAATAACGAGTGAGTGAAAACAAAATACTAAAGTTATAGGTCATCACAGGACGTTTTGTGTCTGCGTTTCTCATCTAAGTAGAACCTCCTGCAGGCCATTGGGAACGTGGCTGAAGTCTGAGTGGAATACTGCAGGGTCGTGGGCAAGAGACCAGCTCCAGAGCCCGCGTGCCCAGGTGACAGTCCTAGCCCCGCCACGCACTACTTGCTGTGTGACCACGGATCTGTGAGATGGGGCCGTGTCATTTAGAATAAGAGGGTTAGTAACCAAAGCCCTGGGGGCAGTGCTGGAAACAACATCGTACTGCACAGGACTGTCAAAGTACTTTGGGAAATAGGAGGTCTCTTAGTGGGAGTGCAGTAGTGTCTTCATAGCTCACTGCAGCCCCAAACTCCTGAGCTCAAGCAATCCTCCTGCCTCAGCCATCCAAGTAGCTGTGACTATAGGTGGGCACCATCATGCCATTATTTTATTTTTGAGTCAGGGTCTTGTTCTTATTCAGGCTGAAGTGCAGTGGCACAAACAGTGTCCATTGCAGCCTCAACTTCCTGTGCTCCTGTGCCTTAGCCTTGAAAGTAGCTAGGAATACGAGGTCTTGCTGTGTTGCCTAGGCTGGTCTCAAACTCCTGGGCTCAAGCAACCCTCCCACCTTGGCCTCCCAAAGTGCTGGGATGATAGACATGAGCCACTGTACCAGGCCTGTTTTATTTTTTGGAGAGATGGTATCTATGTTGCCCAGGCTGGCCTTGAACTCCTGGACCTGCAATCATCCTACCTTGGGCTCCCAATGTGCTGGGATTACAGGCCACTGTGTCCAGCACCTCTTAGCTTTTTAGGTTACCTCTGTTCAGTTTTCTTGTCACCCATCAGTAATCCTGGCCCTATGACCATAAATGTAACAACATAAAGGAAGCTTTAAAACTGAACTTTGGAATTTCTAAAGATTTGGGTCATACAGGTAAGGCCTGTTGAGATGCTGATTGTTGGACCTCTGGGAGATGACATTTGTAACCTTGCCACAACTACCCTCTCATCCCATATCACTTCTTACCCTGAAGAAGAGCCGGTGTTGCTTTTCCTAAAAGGTCTCATCTGACAGCCTGGACCTCAGAGTTGTCTTGGAGAACGTCTTTTAAGATGACTTAGCCCTCCCATGTTCTACTTGGGTTTAGATGTGCAAAGGCCAATGGTTCATTTCTATCTTGAAAGAATAATGGCATAGGAAAATGGTGTGAAGCAAAGATTCTGCTTAACCTTTCATGACCTGCAGCTGCGTTTCCTTTATGAAATTCACAGGCATTACTCAGGGCTGGAACTGGGCTATCAGTGTATAACCACCGCTATTCTGGGAAGGGTGATCCCAATGCCAGCATTCAGAAGTGGTACCCAGAAGAGGTGATGAGGTCACGTGAGCCCTGCCCTCATGGATGTATGACTCGCTGCCTTGGGAGTGGGCTTGGCCCGTCTTGCTGTCCCACTCTCCTTTCACCATGAATATACACAAGAAGGCCCTCCTCAGATGCAGGCCTCAGCCTCTAGGACTGTAAGAAATAAATTTTGGCCAGACGCAGTGGTTCATGCCTGTAATCCCAGCACTTTGGGAGTCCAAGCCCAGGGGTTCAAGACCAACATGGTGAACCCTCATCTCCACAATAAATCAAGAAAAATTAGCTGGGCGGGGTAGTTCCAGCTACTTGGAGGCTGAGGCGACAGGATCACCCAAACCCAAGTAGATCAAAGCTGCAGTGGCCAGCGTGCACTCCAGCCTGGGCAACAGTGAGACGCCGACTCAAAAAGATTTCTTTTATGAATCCCCCAGTCTGTGGTCTTCTGTTACAGCACACAAAGCCAGCTAAGCCACCCTCCTGCCACCTGACAGTACCTACTAGGCTGTAACCATTCCACTCCCACAAGTCGTGGGTTTTCAAGGTATGGTGGCTAATGACTACTCTTACAAATAATTTTAACATTTGTGTATTTCTTAACTGTTTAACATGTGCAAACTGCACTGACATATTAAACTGGTTTCTCTTTGTTTGCGTCAGTCTCACTCTGACACAGTCACAGCTCACTGCAGTCTTGAGCTCCTGGGTTCAGGCAATCCTTCTGCCTCAGCCTCTTGAGTAGCTAGGACTGTAGGCACACATCGCCACACCTGGCTGATTTTTTGTAGAGACACGGTCTTACTTACCATGCTGCACAGGCTGGTCTCAAAGCACTCCTGGGCTCAGGCAATCCTCTCACCTCAGCCTCCAAAGTGATGGGATTACCGGTGGGAGCCACCACGCCTGGCAGTTTGTTTTGTAAGACTGCACAAATGTTTTGTGATGGGAGTCAGGGCACAACCTGACTGTTGTGCCCTGACTCCCATTTGTTTCCACTGTGAAGTTTCCCATAGTGTAATGAGCTTTGGGAAAGTATGTCATGTGACAACGCACACCAACGGGAAAGGAAGAGTTTCCCTTCCACTGTGGGCTTCTCGCAAACTGCACTCCTGACTTCGACTCCTGTTTGTCGTTCCCAAGGACTCTAAACTCAAGTTATCTGCAGCAATGTGCAGCTAACTACCTAAACCCATTCTTAACCTTTAAAAAATGTCTTTCTTTGGGGGTCACTAAAGTTCTTTATCCTCTCCCAAGTTTTCAAGTATGGCGTTTACATTCTTAACTCCAATAGAATCACAGAATTATAAAGGAGGAAACTAAACAGTTCGAGGCCAGCCTGGGCAACATAGTGAGACCTCGTCTGTACAAAAAACCAAAAACATTAGTCTGCTGTGGTGGTGCACACCTGCATTTCCAGCTATTGGGAGGCTGAGGCAGAAGGACCATCTGAAGCCCAGGTGACAGTGAGACTCCGACTCAAAAACAAACAACAAACCAAAACAACAAGAGAGATAATGTTGCAAACCCTGCTTGGAAGTGTAAAATGGAAGTGAAGGATTTAAATTGGTTTCCATTCGTTTTGTGTCAGTCTTAGAATACAGAGAAAACCTCCTCCCAATAAATAGAGCAGTTTGAGAAACAAAATGAAAAATACATGGAAATCAATAAAACCAGACCATTAAAATTCCTCAACCTGGCCAGGCACGGTGGCTTATGCTTGTGATCCCAACACTTTGGGAGACCAATGCGGGAAGATCACTTGAGGTCAGGAATTCAAGATCAGCCCTAGAAATGTAGTGAGACCCTGTCTCTGTAAGAAAAAAAGAAATTCCTGAACTTAAGCCAAGTGTTCTTTTCTCTGCATATTGCAACTAAAAACTGAATGGTGATAAAGTCATAGGCACAGGCACAGGCACACACCAACTGAAGTCTGGCATTATTTACAAACAGTTGGCTGGACTCTGGGGCTAAATTTAATTCAAGAAAGATTCTATCCGTTTACTGCAAGATTTTTTTTTTTTTTTGAGTTGGAGTCTCACTCTGTCACCCAGACTGTAGTGCAGTGGCCGCTCCCGGCCACCGCAGCCTCGACCTGCTGGGCTCCGGCGATCCTTCCGCCTCAGCCTTCCAAGTAGCTGGAACTACATGTGCACGCTACCATGCCCGGCTGATTTTTGATTTATTGTAGAGATGAGGTCTCGCCAACTTGCCCAGGTGGGTCTCGAACCCGCGGGCTCAGGCAATCCACTCACCTCATCCTCCCAAAGCGCGAGATTATAGGCTGAGCCACCGAGCCCGGCTTACTGCAAGATCTTTTGCACTCCTATGCAACCTGTCTCTGCTCTACGGCTGCTGATGCAGTCACTTCATGTTACTCAAATGCAGATACTCACCTTTTCAATGGCCCATAACTGATCCAATGGGAACCTACTCAATAGGCGATCAGCAAAGAAAATTTAGAAGGGTTTAAAGCAAAGGGTTTAGACAGGCAAAAGCTGCACTGAGGCAGAATCAGGGTTTGAAAGCTCATTTAACAATGGAATTGTTTCTGAAGCTGAAGTCATGACATAGGTCAAGGATTCAGGAGTATGAATTCTTGGCCTCTCCGTGTACTATGTCAAGACAATAAAAATGGACCGTGGCATGCAGATGAAGCCTCTACTAACTGCCACTTATTTTATTTTTGAGTTGGAGTCTCACTCTATTGCCCAGGCTGGAGTGCAGTGCCATGCACATGGCCACCCTGACCTGCTGGGCTCAGGTGATCCTTTCTCAGTCTTCCAAATAGCTGGAACTACAGGTGTGCACCATCACACCCGACTAATTTCTTTTATTTATTGTAGAGACGAGGTCTCTCCAAGTTGCCTGGGCTGGTTTTGAACCTTGGGGCTTGGGCAATCCTTTCACCTCCACCTCCCAAAGGGTTGGGATTATAGGGGTGAACTACCATGGCCAGGCTACTAACTGCCATTTAAAGAAACTTGGCTTGACTAGTCCCAGTTTCCAAAACACACCCCACCCCCAACTGTGCGACACTCAAATCAGACGGTCCAGGTGGGTCAGTGCCCGTTTTCATGTTCCTTTCTAGGTGAAGACATGCATTGTGATTCAGAAGACACATATGCAGCACTAGCCATCTGTACACAAAGGAAAAACAATTCCTCAGCATGTCTGAATGGGAATTGCAACCTTTCAGTCAGAAAACTTTTCAGGGTGTCTTTACCCAAATAGATGACCACACATTACCAGAATTCCTTCAAACTTAAAACATAAAACTTTTATTATGGCTAACATTCTCCTGCCCCAAATTACCAACACATGGGGGGCTTGGAAAAACCCCAACACAATCCTCAACTCCAATGGGATTCCAAGTCCCAGCAGGAGGAAAAGGCTCCATAGACATACCTAATTTTTACTGTTGAAATACAGCCACTCTTAAAGCTGGTCCACAGTGCCTTAACGAGGAGATCAGCCTTCAGCAAATGCCATTCAGAACTAGAACTAGTTTTCGTTTATTCCTAGGTCAGGTTTATCCCCATTAGGAAAGCTTACATCTGCAATTACCTGCACCATAGTTTCTGTGGCCCAGGCTGGAGTACAGTGGCATCACCATGGCCCTCACTGCCAGTCATCACTGCCAGTCACCTCACAACTTGACCTCATTTGAGATCAGGTACCCTTCCCTATACAAAGCTACTTTTATTACCACCCTTTTCCATCTGGGAAAACTGAAGCACAGAAGAGTTAGAGACCAGCCTGTGTTCCCACAGGTAGAATTTGGCAGAGGCAGAATTCCAGTTGACATTGAAGTCAAGGCTCTACATCTATCTACCACCCTGAATTACTGAATTGCCTGAACAGTAAACTTTAAACTGAATGTTCCTTCCAGAAATAGTGAATAAGATTAATTTCCTATCAAGTTGCCCAGTTAACTAAAGTGTTTGAAGAACAAAAAGATGTTTTTGTTTGAGCAGAGTTCAGATAACTTCTTAAAGCCAAGGCAGGTTAGCAACTAAATATACTCCAAAAACAACAAAGAAAAAAGGGACTGAACAGTGTGTGGCTTTTCTAACCCAGTGTTTGCATTTAACGGTATTAAGAAGCAATGCTTACTTGGAATAACATCTAGCTTCACTTACATCAACCTATTTCATTTAGTCCAGGTTTAAACTGTTAGGAGGCTAGTGAAGAGACATGACTAGAAAAGGCAGCATAGAAACACCTTAGCGTGCACATATATACTGGGCTTGACCAAAACTTTCGTTGTTCATTTCTAACTCTCACCACCTGTTTACCAGAATCAATTTGCTCTGAAATAAAACAAGAAGCAAAGAATGCTTCCAAATTAATATACAAAGCTGATAATGTAAAATTTCACCTCTATTGCATGATAGAAGCCAAAGTGAAACGTGAAGAGGAATAAAAACATTTATCTATGTATTCAGAATCACACACAAATTTCCTTTACAGTTCAATTTACTATATAGAAATCATTTGGGCTTTATAGTTTCAGTTAACTTTTGAACTGAGATTACAATATTGTAACAATTTTTTTTTACATTAATTCAGTACTTTTTTAGCATACCAAATTGAAATACATAGGTTCAAACTTCAGATTTATGGCAAACAGTCTTCAAATACAATACAGACATTTTTTTAAAGTTACCATATCATTCACATGTGATATTTGCGACTCGGAGCTATTTCACACAGAACAGCTCTCCTGTGGATATGGCAAAATTGATATGCCATTAAGTTCAAGCCTCTATAGCCAAGCCAAGGACTCAAGTTGCACCATCTTTAAAAAGGTTTGGCATTTCTGGACTACAACAATGCACATGTAAAGAAAGAAGGAAACAATTAGTCCTCCTCGTTACAGTTAAAAAAAGTTGCATGGTAGCTTGGAGTTTTGCATAAAATCCCATATTACATCTTGGGAAAGTCCAAGGTCAATTAGATGACAATGGATTGGGATCCTAAATTTTTCTTAATTAACAGAACCCATGAAATTCAAATGGGCATTAACCAAATCAAAAAATATTAAGCACCTACTGGTTTAAGAGATTGAAATTTATTAGAGATTCATGATCAATTTATTTCCACCTTGAAGTGAAGGTGTAAAAACCAGCTATTAAGTGCATTCCGAACTTCTCCTATGTAGCACAGGTAGAATCTTCTGTCCATTGGCACCAAAGTAAAGTCACATTTCCTCTTGGGAGACAGAAATTCCACATCCGAACATAGAGTAAGTTAGGAAAAAGTGACCCTTGTCTATTTTATTACTATTGTGATTCTGAGATCTAGGATTACTAATACACTAGCAGTGAACAAAGCAAATTCCTGGCAACAACTGTCAGGTTAGTGACGCTAACTCCCTTCCCTAACCACCACAAAATTTTAGTATGAAAATAATTAAAAGTAATGGCTAAGCTGAACAAGTGGGAACTAACAAGAAACTAAGGGAATAGTCAAACCAACAACAAAACCCCTAAATTTGAAACCACTGCAATTGAGTAACTGAAGAAGTGAGTGTGCTTTACCCAACCCCTGCCCACTCTGAATTTAAACATTCCGTGCAAAAGAGCATCAGGTTTCTAGATAAAGATGTAGCCCTTCTTTAAGTTTTAGTGCTCTGTGGTTCTCTGCAATTTTATTTCCTTTCCTCCCCATGTTTATTCAAAGTATTTAATAGAATCTTACATATCAGTCAAAAGGTTTGTGATTCACAGATTTACTAAGGTACTCTATGCATTCTATCTATACAGAAACACCTATGAATTATTACAATTAGTCTATGCAGAATTAACATTGTGGTGTTAAAATTGTTAGACATCATGCTTACTGCACATCAACTCTCCATCATTAATCCGAACCTCACAATGATTTACCACTTGACTTAAATTACTAATTAAATAATCGAAAAATGCACTGAGCCAAACTAAACTTAAATGGGCTATAAAGAAAAAAAACCTTCAAAACAGTCTATATACACATCTATTTCAAAACTACCTTTGCTAGCTAGCCCCTTTCCCAAAGTTTTAGCCTGAAAAGACAGTAAAATCTACACAAAATTTTATTGCAATCATACAACGGTTACATTAGGTCAAATACAACAAATACTATGATGCAATTTTACATTTATTAAACTACAGTTCATAGCACAAATTTACACATTCTAAATACACTAAACGGTATCTAATGAAGTCACACTGGTCTTCCACTGACATCTGATATATCTGGGTGAAAGACATTAACTTTACAAGACTTTTTAACACGAATCCTTAGTATAAAAACTGTGTACTTGTATGTAAACGGTTTAATGGGGAACCCAATTAATGGGCTTCCATCTCCACTAAGTCATCCATTTTGTTGCATATTTTATTTTAAACGCTTAAGGGGTAGGACAAACCGGTGGGTTTAAATCTGGATACATTATCTAAATTTCCCATTACCCCCAATGAATTATAGATGAAAATTGATTTTGTCTGGTCCCAAATAGCTACTACTAATAGTTTTTGTTTCCAAAATAATTAACAGAATAGAATTGCTTAAATTTTTTTCCACACTGGAATGTTGACCAGACAAACATAACCTGCAACTTCAGATCTAAAGAAGCGTTCATGCCTGTTTAAGCCTCAGTGGAAAAGCTGCCTTCTTGGCTTAGCTGGATGCAAGAAGGCACAAAGAAGAAGCTCTTCATCATCGCGTCGGAAGTAATTCCAGCATCTTGCATCTCATACCTATAGAAAAAAAAAAGAAGACCCTTAAAAGGTGATCAATTTTCTATTATAGTCATGCACTGCAGTGATTTTTTTGTCAAAGATAGACCACATGCAGAACTGTGGTGCCATGAGCTTATCATGGAGTTGAAGTTCCTATTGCCTAGTGACATTATACCTGTTGTAATGTTGCAGCACAACCCCACTTCCTTTTCTGTGTTTAAAAATCTTTAGATACTCAAATACTATTGTTATATGCTGCCACAGGTTTGTAGCCTAGGAGCAACAGGTGACACCATCCAGACTAGGTGTGTGGCAGTCTGGGCCACCCTGAAATCACCTAACAACGTATTTCTCAGAACCAGCACCTACTGTTAAAATGATACAAGATGGTACACTTCTAAGTTAAGCATTCCTTACAGAATTAAAGTTTGAACAAATCTAAAGCATCACCTCAAACACCATCAACTTTAAAATAAAAGCACCTTACCAATCACTGAATGACATCATGTAATAAACAGCTGGCCTTTGCATATCATTAAAAGCAGATGGTTCATGGAAAGAATCTGCTCCCATGTTATCAAAAATAAGCCAATCTCCTACATTCAGCTCAGGAAGAAGACAGCTTTCCACAATCTGATCAAGCTCATCACAGGACGGACCCCAAAGGCTGCTTGTAAACAGAGGCTCATCTTCCTTGTATTTCTGTAGGAAAGTAAATGTTTTTAATTATTTTCTTGCACTCATTCATGCAGTGTTGAGTTTGTGGCTGGATATCAGATCCAATGTGCCCATGGAAAAAAGGCCTAGGGCCAAGGGCACAGTGCTCCTTCTTAAGCCCCAGTGGTACCATTAACTCTACATAAAGGCCACAAACTGGAGGAACTTGGCCAAAAGAAAGCAAATCCTCAAAAAGGGCATTTTTCTGTACCCTAAGATAGTTCTCAAAAAATTGGGAGGCATCTTAAAAATAGCAGCTCAGTTTATAAACTGCCAAGTAGGTTTTGATATTATTTCTGATACAACTTGCCTTGTGAACCTCTGGAATGGTATTTAAGTCCTCAGACAGTTTACTTGCAAAGGAACCATAAACACCATCATTCATATAATACATGAAGGCTGGTTCATCACTTCCGGTTTTTTCTACTGAAATAAAACAGAAAAAGGGAAGATGAATTTATTGCAAAATGTCCAGTATATACTTAATATAAAACACATATCATCAATACTCATTTCCTGGTTTTTAAAATACCAATCTCAGCAGGTGAGGTGGCTCACATCTGTAATCCCAGCAATTTGGGAGGCACAGGCGAGAGGACTGCCTGAGCTCAGGGGTTCGAGACCACCCTGGGCAAGTGGCAAGATCTTATCTCTACAATAAATCAAAAAATTAGCCGAGCATGGTGGTGCGCACCTGTAGTTCATGCTACTTGGAAGGCTGGGGTGGAAGGATCACCTGAGCCCAGCAGGTCGAAGCTGAGGTGGCCGTGAGGGTGCCACTATACTCCAGCCTGGGCAACAGACTCCGACTCAAAACAACAACAACAGCAGCAAAAATACCAATCTCCAAAAAAAATGAACAGGGCTCCCTAGAGAAACACCTAATTACAGCATGGAGTTAGGAAAAGGTTAAAATGATCCTGGAATATCTTGATGTACTAGGAAGTAAAGATGTGCTCAAAGAATGGGGACATGTCAAAAGGATTCAAATCTGGGACAGTAAAATAAATTATAAAAGTAACAGATTATATAACCTATTGAGTAGGTATGTATGAATCTATACCAATATAAATAGGAAGGAAGTCAAAGTCTCACTCTGTCACCCAGGCTGGAGTGCTGTGGCATTCTTCACTCTTGCAATCCTCTTGCCTCAGCCTCCCAAAGTGCTGGAATTACAGGCGTTAAGCCACCACACCCGGCAAAAAGTTCCTCTTAAGGTCAGTTAATACACTGAACAATAGAGACAGAAATTCTTTAGCAGTCGCTAAAACTAATGGGGTGGGGGTCTGATAAAAAAACGGGTAGCTTATTCACATAGCCTTAAACTACCTTGTCATTTCACAATGAAGAAACCTTCCTGACACCACCTTAACCAAGTGTTCAAAACTAGCATCAAAGAATTTAAAAAAACCCTAGTACTATCAATATTAGAACAGAATACTATCGTGTACCATCTAACATTATGACTGAGAATAACAGAATACCTCTCTGGGGCCAGGCATAGTAGCTCAAGCCTGTAATCCTAGTTCTTTGGGAGGCTGAGGTGGAGGACTACTTGAAGCCAGAAGACCAAAACTAGCCTGGGCAACATAGCAAGTCCCAGTCTCTACAAAAAACTAAAAAAATCAGCTAGGCATGGTGGAGAGTGCCATAATTCCAGCTACTCTGGAAGCTGAGGCGGGAGTATCACTTGAGCCCAGGAGTTCCAGGCTGCAGCAAGTTATGGTGGTACCACTAAACCCCAGTCTGGGTGACAGAGTGAGACCTTATCTCTAATAAAATAAAAAATAAAAATTCTAATCTGAAAAAAATACATATCACTTTGATGGACATCATGCCCCAAATGCATAGGCTAAAACATTAAACAACAGGCTAAAACATTAATCACAAAGAAGTAGCAAACAGCCCAAACTGAGGAACTACTACTAAACTTCTACCCTTCAAAAATGTCAAAGCTAAAAAGTATAGAGTAATGCACTGAGAAAACTTTTTTCAGACTAAAGGAGAAATGACATGCATTATGTGGTCCTAGATTGGACTCTAAAAAAGAAAAACGCAAAGTTGTAAAGGACAGGATTAATCTAGTGAAAAAGATGTTGTAGTACTTCCTACAATGATAATGGTTGACAAGAGAGGCTGTCTAGTGCCCTTTTCTTAGTTTGACTTAAGATGGAGTCAAAGGACTCTTTTCTGACCCTTGTTACATAAGAAAGTATGAAGCAGATTCTTCCTGTGATCCATCTGCGGTAAGAAAAACGGAACAGATCACAATGAAACAGTCGTTCTGAATAAGACATGAGGAGCAATCTTCTGGAGAAGATCACCTAAAACATACATATCTAATCAGTACCTAGAACTGGATTCAGGAAGTCTCATGAAATGGGACCTTGACTATAGCATTTTGAAAAGCTCTCCAGCTGCCTGTAGCAGGCTAAAAACCACTCACAACTTTATGACCATGTATTCATTTCCAGACTACTGAAATTATCTATTAACAAATAGGAAAAAAAAAACAAAAACAAAAAAACCCAAACCACAAACCTTATAAACTTACCTCCAGAGGAAAATTTATCATTTTCAACAACTTTCTTTGCTATGATATTAACTGCAAGTGTAAATGCAGAAGACACATAGTAGCTTCCAGGTTCCGAAATTATCTTAATGCCAGATCCTTCAGGAAAGTAGATATCCAACAGAGGGCTTATTATATGATTAACCTATAAATTCAAAATCCCACGTTATGATTTTGACATCAGATTAGATAATTCACAATATTCAGAGATTATATAGCAACTAAGTTTTCTAGGAAAACTGAGCAGTTTTAATTACAGACCATGAAGCTTAGCTATTTAGCAGTTACCTTAAGCAACGAATTAGGTATACTTTCAAGTAAAAAGTTTATTCAAATGACATTAATTTTTAATAGCAAATATTCACTAGTGTCTTTCTTTAAAGTCATTTTCCTAAACTTGATTGCTAAAAAACAGAATAGGCAAATTTCAAATCACAGTTTCTAGATACTACAGAGTAAGAGTAGGGCAGGGCAAGATGGTGAGGAACTGAGGGACCATGTGCATCTGGATAAAAGAGCTCCTGTTATGCATCCATTTGTGCCATGAAGTACTGAAACACAACTGAAATAAATCTTTTCCGTTATACAGATCAAAGAATTTTACCCAACTTTTTAAAATTAGCTAGGTCTTCTCATTGCTTGGTCATTTTCTACGAATGAAATTTTAAATAGATGTTACAGGCTTTAGTTTCCGCCATTGTAAAAATCCTGTCTACACACATATCACATAAGTAGCCAAAAAAGTGATTATTCTGGTATGTCCACCCACTGAAAAAAGTTTACCTCTTCCAATTGAAATTCAGTTCCTGTGAAGCCTCCACCGATGTCTAACATGTTCATTGTAAAGCCAAATTCTCCCTAGAGATGAAAAACATACTTTAAATGCTCTTCCAAACTTTACTGGATGTGAGAACAGTTTTAAAACCCCCTCCTCCCAGGGAGGCAACTAGTTGTTCTGGCCTTTACTACAAGTGCTTGGTTTTTTAAAAATAGAACCAGATTAGTTCAGAGTTATGTATATCCACCTCCTGGTCTTATCTGTACTCTCTTCAAGACTTATGCAAGTAAATTACTCTTTCACTCCTTTACCCACTTAAAAAGTGTGACTGTACAGAACCCTGAATGCTTACATAATAAAAAATAAGGAAAAAAAAGAGGCACATGTCATATTAGGTATAATGAGAGTAACCAGGCAGGAACCAACGCTGAATCTTAGTCTTAAATAACATTCTGGCTTAAAATATCAACATAATTTAAAAGAACTTACAGCCATGTCAAACACACATCGAGCATCAGATAGAGCATGTACATATACTTGAGATTCTTTGCAAGTACTTGAAACATGAAATCTGAAAGAAATAGAATAAACTTAAAGTTGCAGCAAGTTTTAAAGGCACTTCCTATAATCCCTTTCAACTGTTATTCACAGTATTGACACCATTAACTTTACCAAATATTTAACGTATTAGAAGAATTAGCCTCTGATTATCCAATAGTTATAGTGCCAGTTTCTTAGAAAAGGTAATGTTTAGATAAAACTATAATTCTATAAGCAAAAAGGTAACAATAAGTCAATCAGCCATGCCTCATGGTTACACCACAGGGCATGCTTTTATGTATATGTGAACTAACAAGCACCAGTTAAACTGAGTCACAAAATCTTCAATTTTACCCAAATACAAAAATGTATCTGTTATGAAACACAAATGACCATTATTAAGCCAATAGGGATACTTATAAATAATATCAGTGATTCAGAATACTTAAAACACGATTTTGTATCCCAATTATGGCAGGAAGAGTTTTACTAGTGTTAAAATTCATAGAACTATATATACCTGGCCAGGCTTGGTGGCTCAGCCTGTAATCCCAGCACTTTGGGAGGCTGAGGTGGGTAGACTGCCTGAGTCTGCGGGTTTGAGACCAGCCTGGGCAACTTGGCGAGACCCTGCCTCTACAATAAATTAAAAATTAGCCGGGTGTGATAATGCGTGCTTGCAGTTTTGGCTACTTGGAAGGCTGAGGCAGAAGGATCTCTGGAGTCCAGCAGATTGATGCTGGGGTGGCCGTGAATGTGCCACTGCACTCCAGCCTGAGCGACGGAGACTCCAATTCAAAAAAGAACTGTCTACACCCAATAAGTCCATGTTTATATGTTAACTTAAAAAATAAAAAGTAGTTGACATATGAACAAAACTCTAAAATATATCAGCATTATCACCTAAGGAAGAAATTAAAATTTTATGTGGACTGATGTGGAATGTTATCTATTGTACAGGGTATAGTAAGATCCAATTTTTCATTTCAAAGACTATCACCTATGTTTATGTGCAAAGAGGTACAGAAAGGTACAGAATAAACAGTGGGGCCTCTTTTACACCTTTTCGATCATTTTAAAAATCAAGAACTTTTGCTTCAGTAATAACAGCAATAAACTGGCAAGCACAGAATATATGAGGCTTAGTGTTACTGTGTCCATAATTAGTTCTAAGGCTACAGTTAAGCCATTAAACCTCTTTGAGTCTTGGTTTCCCCATATATAAAATTAAGAAAGCTAAACAAAGTCTGATTTATTGAAGTGCCACTTGAGGAATTAAGAAGAAAATGTCTTCAGACAGAAAACAGAAAGAATGAAATGATATCTACAAATTAGAAGTTGAATGATATTTTTTTTTTTTTTTTTGAGTTGGAGTCTCACTCTGTCGCCCAGACTGGAGTGCAGTGGCCGCTCCCGGTCACCGCAGCCTCGACCTGCTGGGCTCCCGCGATCCTTCCGCCTCAGTCTTCCAAGTAGCCGGAATTACAGGCATGCGCTACCACGCCCGGCTGATTTTTTGATTTATTGTAGAGATGAGGTCTTGCTGCCCAGGCGGGTCTCGAACCTGCGGGTTCAGGCAATCCGGTCACCTCAGCCTCTCAAAGGCGCAGGATTACAGGCTGAGCCACCGAGCCCGGCTTGAATGATATTTTAATATTCATTAGAATCCTAGCAAATCCTTTCCAAATCCCAAAGGTGGCAAATTATTTCACATTAACCTTTCAGTTGCAAAGTACTATGAAAAAGAAAGCATAGTTGTTTCCTGACAATAAGGAAACACATGTTAAAAAACTGGAAGAGTTGGCTGGGTGCGGTGGCTCACACCTATATGCTTCCAGCACTTTGGGCAGCTGAGGTGGGAGGATCGCTTGAGCTCAGGAGTTTCAGACTGCCTAGGCAACAGAATGATACCGCTTTAAAAAAAAAAAATCAAAAAATTAGCAGAGCACAGTGGCCAGCACCTGTGGGCCCAGCTACTTGGGAGACTGAGGTGGGAGGATTGCCTGAACCCAGGAAGTCTAGCTGCAGAGAGCTGTGATCATTGCCACACTGCAATTCAGCCTAGGAAACAGAGTGAGATTCTAACTCAAAACAAAACAAAAAACTGAAAGAAGTTGAATCTTATATTTTATGCAAATGAATTATTAAATCAACAGCCAGAAAAACTATCACCCTAAAATGTCTAATGTTTTAAAAGTTTAAAACCAAATACTCACTTAACCCCAATTATTTGGACATCAAGTTCCTTAGCACATTCCAAGAGATGCCTACAGTTCTTCAGTGTAGTGCCAAACTTCATGTTATCCTCTTCGCCTCCAATATTATCTTCTGTTGCAATATGTAGTAAGACCCTAAGAGAAGGGGAGATGATTGGGGCAGAGTTGGTTTACATCATCATCAGCACATGTGAAGCCTGAAGATTGTAGGAAGTGTGTTGATTATGTTGCCAGCGCTCCCAAATCCAGCGACGGATGAATCAAGTGAACCTAATGAAAAACAATCCTGTATAGAGAAAAAACTAGCAATTAGGGCCTAAAGCATGAAGCTTACAAAGGATGGGATTTTGGAAAATGCAGCAAGTTAAGACTCTGTTGTAGCATCAAGAGTTGGTAGGATTCTGTAATGAAAGACGACATTACTTTCAAATGAAGTCTACCAGTCCATAAATTCACCTAGAAAGACTAAATTGAACAGCAATGCCATTGTTGTCTTTCAATAAACATATCAGGGTATTAAGTGTCTTCAAATTTGATTGTTCTAACTAGTTAACTCTCCATCATTTGCTCTGAACATTTCTATTCACCTCTTACAACCCTGCAGGTTTCTAACTCGTAAAAACTTTGAATTATTTTATGTGTCTAAACAGCAGTCTTTTTCCCTACTGATTCAATCTATTTGGTGTTTTCTTCCAAATCAGCACAACCAAGACAAAATGATCAAGACTGACTAAATTTCTTTTTTCACTAAAAGCTGCAAATCTACAAATGTTTTTGCTTAAATGCTGTTTTTCTGAGGAAATGTTAATTAAATTAACTAAGAGGATTCATAGTGCAATTATGCAAATATAGCTATGACTCTAATTTGATGATTAGAGGGCAAGACTGATAAGAGCAAAAATCATTTTACCTAAGGGTAGAATCAGCTCTATCAAAAATGTGCTAATTTCCAATCTAAAAGTAAATATCCCAAATCAAAGCTTGTCTTGAGATCACAGAACAGAATGATTTTAAGAAAACCAAGTGCTTCTCTATCTCTACAATTTTCCCAAAAAAGCTTTTATCCAAACAAAGGTTTTCAGGATATTCAATGCTGTCAGGATATCTTAAGTACACCATTAAAGTAATTAAGTATAGACATACAAAGAAAATACAGATATGATACACAATTTTAGAAACACACAAAATATATTAACAGTAAGCCAACAATTGTGAAATACAATATGCTTAGTTCATTCTAAACTCCAACATACTAGTTAGTGAAAGTGTAACTTTTGCCTTAAAATTCTTTGCATTTAAAAATAAAGTTTTTAATTAAAAAAAACTATCTGTGGATCATGCAGGTGCAAGTAAAAAATTAAACATAATGCTCAAAAAAGTGGAAACCTTAAAAAAGAAATTCCAAGTCTACAGACTAGGTTCCTAAGACATTGTCAATAAGGATGACCATTCAAGAACTATGGCCAAGGATAGATGAAACCTTCACCTAACCAGATGAAAAAGCTAACCAAAATACGTTCTGTTCCCACTATGTCAAGTAACTAAGAGGGCTATTGTAATTATTAAAATATAACCATTACTCTAATTTGGTTATCACACCTACTTTTCTTCTTTGAATTATAGATTAAGATCATATTTCCAAACTGTCCTTACTTCCTTTCAATTCCACAAGGATCAGAAGTAGGCAGTCAATAAAATGCTACTAGTTTTTTTCATATAGGAATGTTAATTAAGTTATAATTACAATGCACACCACTACTCCACCATAAACACACCTTCTTCTCAGGCTAAAGACAAACCCAACCTTCTAAGTGGGAAGATAATATTCTCAAATACTTAATTTTACACTTACTTGGCGTTTGGGTGATTGCGTGCAATTTTCTTCAATTCAATTTCATTGTCACATGTCATAATATTCACTCCAACTTTTGCTGCATACTTTATCTGAGACACTTGCTTGCAAGGACTTATGTAAATAATATTTTCTGGAGATACACCCAATTCTTGCACTAAAGCCATTTCATTCTGTGAAGACAGATTTTAAACAGTGTCATCTAAAAGGCAAAATTTCTATTACTTTCCATTTAATTACTCTTGTATACTTGTTTATTTTTCTGGTCAAACTAAAACTATAAGAGGTTAAGTCAAGATTAAATGATGGTATAGTTCACATTAAGGTAATGCTTCTGGCCGGACTCGGTGGCTCAGAATGTAATCCCGCGCTTTGGGAGGCCAAGGTAAGTGAATTGCCTGAGCCTGCGGATTCGAGACCCACCCGGGCAACTTGGTGAGAGCTCATCTCTACAATAAATCAAAAATTAGACAGGCGTGGTAGTGAGCGCCTGTAGTTCCAGCTACTTGGAAGGCTGAGGCGAAAGGATCACCGGAGCCCAGCAGGTTGAGGCTATGGTGGCCAGGAGCGAGCCACTGCACTCCAGTCTGGACGACAGAGTGAGACTCCAACACACACACACACACAAAAAGGTAATGCTTCCTCTACTACTCTATTAAAAACCTTTAAAAACAAGTACCACCAGAGAAATCTCATAGCTTAGAAATATCTGCTTTAGTTAGAAGTAATTTGGTACTCTCTAGTCTAAGAATAGAAACAAGTAAAAGTTTTTGATGAATAAAGTTTTTAAAGGCTCATCATAGTGAAACTTCCTTTTCATTGGCACATTTGGTAAGTCTGTAGTAAATTTCCAGTGGGACTGCAAATTCAACAATTATTTTAAAACTCCATCCAAAAGTCAACCTTCCTTACATCTGTTCTACTATTGCAGGTAACGGGAAGTTTTTAAATGTTGCAATTCAGAGAAAAAATGAAAAATACCTACTTTAGTAGAACAAGCAAATCCAGTTCCAAGAGCTGCCAGAATCTCTAGTACAGCTGGAGTAGAGTTGCACTTCACTGTATAGAATGGCTTTATCTGGGCCACCACACTCTGCCATTGACTGTGTTTCTTCACAATCTTTCCAAGATCTCCCACAAAAAATGCATTTTTTCCTGTCTATTATAATTATGAAAAGAAGACAAACGTGATCAAAGAACCACAGAAAATAGAGTATCAACGTAGGAACGAACCTCCCTTCCCCACAAATGGGCCAAGATATAAATTTATGTACAGTGGTACATTTAAAGCTTGTTAAGTGGAATCTAACTAGATCTAGTAAACATTAAAAGAAACTGTAAACACGTCTGCCCTTTCCCTTTCAAGACTTTTTGCTGTCCTACATTGGTATACAAAATAGTCTATTTTTGAGATTAAAAAAAAGCTATCAATCACAGTGATTTTCTATTTCAGAATCATGTCTTAATTTTACTTTTTAGTAACTGAGACCTATTTCCTCCTGTCCTACCACTACTTTAGACAGACTTACTTTGGCAGTTCGGGATATAATTTTCTAAAAAAGTAAGTAGAATCAGGAATGCTAAATGAAACAAACTATACTTCTCCATTAAAACTGCACCTTAGCAGGGTGTGGTGGCTCACGTCTGTAATTCCAGCACTTTGGGAGGTGGAGGTGAGAGAACTGCCTGAATCCAGGGGCTCAAGACCAGCCTAGGCAACTTGGCAAGACCTTGTCTTTATAATAAATCAAAAAATTAGCCAAGAGTGGTGGCGTGTGCCTGTAGTTCCAGCTACTTGGAACTGAGCCCAGTGGATCAAGGCTGCAGAGGCCATGAGATAGCCACTACACTCCAGCCTGGGCAACAGTGAGACTCAGACTCAAACAAACAAACAACAAAAAACCGCACCTTAAGAAAAAGATGGTAAAATAAAGGAGCAATTTCACCGGGAAGTCATTTTAAAGACAAAGTCATTAGTCTGTGCACAGGGATGGTAATATTAGACTTAAAAACCACAGTAAGTAGGCCAAGTGCAATGGCTCATGCCTATAATCCCAGCACTTTGGGAGAGACTGAGGCAAGAGGATTTCTTGAGCCCATGTCTACAAAATATAAAAAAATTAGTCTGGGGTGGTGGCCCGTGCCCATAGTCCCAGCTACTCAAGAGGCTGAGACAGAAGGATCACCTGAGTCCAGGAGGTTGAGGCTATAGTGAGCCACGATCGTTCCACTGCACGCCAGCGTGGGGGATAGGGTAAAATTTCAACTCAAAAATATATCTGCATCAAAATGTCAGATAAACTGAATAAGAATAATCTTCTCTCAAAAGCAAAAAAGCATATTTCAATTAGGGATCTGGAAGAGCAGTGTAATAATTTTAAAGTTGTGGCTATTCTGTATATGTAGACCAGAATATTAATTACTCAATACTATTAGATGGCAGACAAAATAATCTTATTTAGGGTGTATAACATCCAAATATATGAGAAGCCATGAAGACAACTGTATTGCTTGCAATACTTTAACTCACATTGTTTGAAAATGTCCATTACTGGAATATAGTGCCTAGCTGACAAAACAAAAATGGAAATTATGCGTTGTGTAGCAGATTTGTTAACTGTTGTATTAACTCATTCACGACAGCTGACGTGAATTTATATCATTCCAAATTCTGTTCCTGGTTTCCACTGCCATGAATTTACCTCATCGTGAAAGACTGTCTTTTTGGGTTTATAATCCAAATAAAAATACAAATAACAGAATGCTGTCAGAGTAGTGTCTGAGACAAATACTGGATATGTCTGCAACTTTCAGTTATATTGTGGAAAAAAAGACAATTTAGAAAAGACCATTTCACTTGTGCTTAATGATAGAAGTCAGTGGCAGCCAGCTTCAGATTTTTTAAAATTTTCACCCACTCTCAGTATTAGGAAAGTGAAAATCTGCCGGTTGCATATGTGTTAAGATAAGATCCTCTCAGGCATGACATCCATTGGATTCTGGAGTAAAAATTTTTTTTCAGAGTATCACTCTGCTGCCCAGACTAGAGTGCAGAGGGATGCTCACAACCACCGTGGCAATGACCTGCTAGGCTCAGGTGATCCTACCATCCCAGCCTTGCAAGTATCTGGAACTATAGGTGTGTGCCACCATGCCCGGCTAACTTTTTGATTTATTGTAGAGATGAGGTCTCGCCAAGTTGCCCAAGCTGGTCTCGAACCCTTGGGCTCAGGCAATCCTCTCACCTCTGCCTCCCAAAGTGCTGGGATTAAAAGTATAAGCCACCACGCCTGGCTGGAGTAAGAAATTTTATATTTAAAAAAAAGTTTTATATTTACTTTGAGAGAGATAAGAAATAAGGTATTTATGGATACCAGCAAGAGAAATTAGGTACAACAAGAGATTTGGTTTCCTTTCTTATCTTACGCACATTGTGACTCTGGAAATTTCTCAGTAGGCAATGGAAGACAAAGAAAGAGAGTAAGGAAGCTTTATATTTAAGAAATACTCAACAAATTAGGCAGGCTTAAGAAAAGAACAGAAAATTAAAAGGAAAATAACTTAGAAGGTTACTATAACACTAAGTGTAAAGGCAGACTGAGATAATGGCAATGGGAATGGAGGAGATGAGTGCAATTACACAGAAAAGACCAAGGCTATGTATGGAGAAAAAACAAAAGGCAGAGTGAGTGACTCAGAAAAACACAGACCCACAACCTTCGAGCCACACAATTAGATTAATCCCCGACTGGGCATGATAGCTCCTGCCTGTAATCCCAGCTCTTTGGGAGGTCAAGGCGGGAGGATATTTTGCACCTAGGAGTTCGACCAGCCTGGGCAACACAGCAAGACGCCATCTCTACCAGGAGAGGATAGGGCTAAGGACTAAACCTCCCTCAATGTGGAATAATTTAGATATGGGACAAGAATGGATGAAAGCAATTATTTCAAAGATTATATCTGACTCCAGAAAAGTGTGGCAAAAGTCAGAAGAGGAAAATCAAATGACTAAGAGATATGTCAACAAAATTTGATCAGGAGCTTCCTGGTGACATGAGATAACTAACTGAAGAATGACTTGACAGGAATCAACTGAACGCTATGACAAGCATCACTATTTCTTCAAGAAGTGATGATGCAGAGGACAGGGATTTTTGTTGGAGTGAGGGGAAGAGCACATTTTCAGACAAGAAGAGGAAAGATGTTTTTTGGATAACCTATTAATGAACATCAGTAACATGGAAACAATTTTCTAACACGTTTGGGGAAATATGGGAAATTAACACCACCCAGTAAAACAAATTCTATCCTTAAGTCAATAAATGAAAATAATTATTAATAGATCTAATTCTTTTTAAATGACCTTAACTAGCTGTGAATAGAATTCTGTAGAATTTGACTCTTGGGGCAAGAGTTAATCATTCATCAAATTCTCAGTAAACATACATAACCAAGATTACCTGAAAGTAAATTAAAATCCACTGAAGAAAGTTGAGAAAAATGAGTAAGAAGCTAAAATAAATAGAACACATGAAAAAAACATAAAAACACATAAAAGGCTGGGCTCAGTGGCTCAGCCTGTAATCCCGTGCCTTTGGGAGGCTGAGGTGAGTGGATTACCTGAGCCCGCGGGTTCGAGACCCGCCTGGGCAGCGAGACTTCATCTCTACAATAAATCAAAAAATCAGCCGGGCGTGGTAGCGCATGCCTGTAATTCCGGCTACTCAGAAGGCTGAGGCGGAAGGATCGCCAGAGCCCAGCAGGTGAGGCTGCGGTGGCTGGGAGCGGCCACTGCACTCCAGTCTGGGCAACCGAGTGAGGTCCAACTCAAAACAAACAAACAAACAAACCACATAAAAGGTATAGCAGGAAATGGGCTGTTAGGAAGCTTTTTTTTTTTTTTTTTTTGTAGTAGAGATGGAGTCTTGTTATATTACTCAGGCTGGTCTGTAACTCCTAGGCTGAAGAGACCCTCCCGCCTCAGCGTCCCAAAATGCTGGGATGACAAGCAGAACCATCATGCCCAATCAGGAAGTGAAGTATTTTTTAATAGTGCGAACTGGAAAAGAAAAACACCACACTAGTCAAGGGGCCCAGGGGATAGAGGGTCAGGTTAAAACAACCTGAAAAGTTAACATCTGAACCAAATACTTATCAGATTAACATCTTGGAAATTAAAGCACTGATATTTCAAAATTTGGAAAATCATATCCACTATACCTGAGAAATGTGTGATAGCACACTCACCAGAGTATGTTCATAAACATAGTTATCAATAACATTTCCAAGGTTTGTTCCTTCATCCAACAGGCCAACGGAATAGTTTGCATCGTCAATAAATCCTTTCATCTCAGCCGTATTCCACAAAGCCGAAAGTCATAAACCAGGAAAAACAAGAGACGGGCCACGAAGCCTATGTCTGGGTCCTTAGAATATGCAACAAACTGTCAAAATATAAATTATATAAACATCTGTTGTTATTTCAATAGTTAAACATGATGTATGAGATGTCGGTGAAAGTATGCTAAGTGCCTAACAGTGAGAAATTCATGAATTACCTATCACCGTAACATTGGATTAATATCCTTCAATATCCATTTAAAAAATGCATACATATTTTATATATTTATAAAACAAGGCCAATTTAATTTGATAGGGTAACTCACATATGGCCACATTATATTACAAATCTATATTTACAGAGTTGCAGACCCAAACTGTATTATTAACTCATTCGCAACTGCTGATGTGAACTTACGTCATTCCAAATTATATCCCTGGTTGCTGCTACTGTGAATTTACCTAATCATGAAAGACTGCCTTTTTGGGTTTATAATCTGAATAAAAATGTGTAGTACAGAATGCTAGCCAGAGTGGCGTCTGAGGTAAATACTGGATATATCTCCAACTTTCAGCTGTATTGTGAAAATTTAGAAAAGACCATTTCACTTGTGTTTCATTACAGAAGTCTGTGGCAACCAGCTTCAGAGTTTTTAAAATTTTCACCTGTTCTCAGTATTAGGAAAGTGAAACATTTGCTGGTTGGGAATGTGTTAATATCTTATGCTTCTGTAACATATAATTTTACTTTTGTGTGTGTGTGTGCTTCAAAGAACATGGGGTGCACATATCTCTAATTTTACTTCTTTTTAAGTAAAGAAGGTAGTGAAATAAGTATCTGCAGTCAAAAAATTATACTAGTTTGAGCTTCAATATACTGTCAGTCACCCAAAAGAGTACTGCCAGATAATTGCAGATAAATGTAAATAAAATTCCAAAGTAGGTGAAATAGGAATGAGTGAGGGTGGAAGGCTGCTTTAGGGAACAACCTGTAGCATGTACACAGACTGCCTAGGCCTTATACTTTCAGCTAAGTTAGCAAAGGGGTATCTTACGAAGTGACTTTTTTTTAACCTGGTTCTGGCTATGTCATTTAGTAGTATATGAATCTTCCAATGCCTCTAAACTTCAGTTAACTATCTTAGTTCTTCAAAAGACTGCTGTTAAAAAAAGAATCATACAGCATATGAACTAAAAATATCCAGTGTTGTCTCTAGAGCTAAAATTAAGTTGCCAATGACCAGAAACACAAAAACATCAAAATTAGAAAAAATATAAGCTAGGTATCTGTACACTCTAAGGCAGTTACCAAGAAGTCTGTTTTTAAAAATTTTTAATATAAAGATTTGGGGTACAATTCAGGGTTAGGTATATAAACACTGATCATGCAGGTACCCTTGTTGATGAAGGAAATCTGGTTTTTAAAAGGCTTTAGGCTAAATCTCACCTCTCCTGGAAAGAACAATTAATAAGTCCATCAATCAAATAATCTTTCCCCCTCCTTTAGATCACCCAATCTCCTCTGGGCAGCACATATGACATGCAGGTTCATCTTCTTTGCTAAGTTTCACTGGTCCTTAGGTTACGTTAAAAAATGATTTCAACATAAACGAGATAAAACAAGTCCTTCAGACAGGGCTTGGTACTGATTTCTTGTTGCCACATTAATAATGGGTATAGACCAGCTGTCTTAGCAATCTATTTGAAACCTGCACAGCCTTTCCTGTGTCCTTAATCCCCCGCCGTGCGCCCCCCCTCCACATTGTCCCATTCTGGAGTTCACCTAGGGTGATGGCCCTCATCTAGACTCCAATTCAACGGTCCTCAAAGTGTCAGCATTCTGGCTGCACCAAAACAAATTCATCAATAAGCTGTAGTATTAGTCAAACTTAATAAAACACATACACTATTCAGTTTTATTTTAAAACACTAACAGCTTTATTTCCAAGAAGCCAACTCATCATCTCTTTCATGCCATGGTACAGACTGAAAAGTTAGGGATATTTTTATTTTACCAAAAAAGTTAATTGACGCCTATCTGCATAAGACCTAATACTTATGCAGTGAAGTCTGGGCATTCTCTAATGGTTTTTATGACAGATTAACTGAAGTAAATCTGTATAAACAGAAAGTAGACATTTTAAACTGAAGATGTATATTAATTTTAAATGACGAAACTCCCTAGAACACCAATTTTAAGGGGATATTCAACTAGGCGATAAGAACAACAGAAAAGATAAAGGCCACTTGTCAAAAAGATAAATGTCAAGGTAAATATAAGAAAGTGGGAACTTCCTTTTAAGTTTAACATCACTACTCTTTTGCTTATCAGTCAGCTTTCATTTATTCTAGTAACTAGATATAAAATGTTTAATCAATACCTTTGGCCTAAATAAAATACACTTTGAAAAACACACACACACACAAATCTTTATACTAATACAGCAAGCTTTCACTTAACGTCATTGACGGATTCTTACAAACTACTTTATCGAAACCATGGAAAGCTGAAGCAATTTTTTCCCTTAATGTTATCATGCAATTACGTTGCTATATTTTGTTTTGCCTAAAATTGCAGATTCCAAGAACGCATCAGCTATGTTGAGAGCTTACTGTACTGTATCTCAGTTGTAAATCTGAGTATATTCTACTATACATGTAGTATTTGGTACTTATTTGAAAATTTTGGGTTATTGATTATGGACCACCACAGGCAAGTGATGCCAAGTACAAAAGGTCTAGCTAGCTGTTAAAGTCAGAACAAGATGAACCTCACTTTCCTATGGCTATAGAGCTTATAGGAAGGGTAATTTTCCTCCAACATTCAGGATCCTCAGTACAGAAATCATCAGGCCCACTGGATCCCATCTTAACTGCTGAATGCCTACATTCTTCAGAGTTTTTATTATAGTATTACGTTCATATAGTTTTTTTTTTCCCCTGAGGACTTTCAAATTACATAATCTAGCAGGTTCAACTCTCACTGATTGCTAAACTAGCTTAATCTAATAATGACCATGTTTCCAGCATCCTGTCAGGGTCTGTTCTAAGTATTTTATCTATGCAATATTAATTCTCTTAACCCTTCAAACCACGATGATGATATTATCCCCATTTTACAGATGAAGATAATAAAGCACAGATCAATTAAGCAGGCTAACTTTAGAAATGCTGATGATCAAACTATGTTTAAAACAAAACTTAAAACCTGCCTCCCCAGCACCCTATCACTATAAAACACAAGATTCCTGTTTTGGAAATCCAACACAACTCTCGGTCTCTTTAATCGAACATTATCACATTCATATAATCAACTAACCCTTTTCAGACATTAATACCCATAGTTGATTCACACTGTTATAAAAACATTCCATCATGCCTGTCATAGCCTTTTTACAGGAGGGAGACAAAAAACAACCAGAATTTATAAAAAATTGTGTATTTTTACATGCTTAAAAACTTCAGTCATTTTCTTTTTTTTTTGAGTTGGAGTCACTCTGTCACCCAGCCTCGACCTGCTGGGCTCCAGCGATCCTTCTGCCTCAGCCTTTCGAGTGGCCGGAACTACAGGCATGTGCTACCACGCCCAGCTGATTTTTTTATTTATTGTAGAGATGAGGCCTCGCCAAGTTGCCCAGGCAGGTCTCGAACCCGCAGGCTCAGGCAATCCACTCACCTCAGCCTCCCAAAGCGTGGGATTACAGGCTGAGTCACCGAGCACCGAGCCCGGCTTAACTTCGGTCACTTTAAAAGTACCCTCTGTTTGATATAATACCTCTATCAAGATGCTTTCTCCACTGCTTAAAAGTTTTTGAACTCATCAATCTTGATGCCCTTTAGTGCTTCTGCCATTTTTTGTTTCACCTCTTCCACATCAGCAAAATATTTCACTTTGAGTATTTTTTTTCATCTGGGCAAACAACAAAAAAAATGTGGCTTGGGGCAAGATTGGGTGAACAGGAAAGGTAGGACAGGGGTGTCATGCTGATTTTGATCAAAAACTGAACAATTTGGTCTAGGCAGGTGTGCTGATAAATCACCCATCATGAAATGGGCAAACATGTTTAAAGAATCTAAAAAAAAAAGAATAGCAGAGTCAGGCACAGTGGCTCACACCTGCAATCTCAGCATTTTGGAAGGCTAAGACAGGAGGACTGTTTGAGTCCAAGAGTTTGAGATCAGCCTGGGCAACATAGTGAGAATTCACCTCTACAAAATATCAAAAAAATAATTCTGGCATGGTGGTGTGAACCTGTAGTCCCAGCTACTTGGGAGGCTGAGGCAGAAGGATCACCTGAGCCTGAGTCAAGGCTATGGTGAGCTGTTATCTTGCCATTGTACTGTAGCCTGGGCAACAAAGACTTTGAATCCAAAACACACACACAAATTCACTGAAGCCAAACAGAGCCTCTCACAACACTAGCTGATACACTGATGCCAATGGGTTTCTTGATCACTTACCTAGTGGGAGAAACCTGTATAACAAGGGGCCTGACCCACAAAAGATTAATTCCAGGCTTTTTTGGGGGTCCTCCCTTGTATATTTCTCTTCATATGACTACTTTCTCTATTTTAATCTTGTTTATCTTTTGTCTGACTCTCAGATATGCAGACCCCAAATCTGAAATTAGTCTCCCTTTTTGCATCCACTTTATCAACAGTTTATGCAAGAACGTGTATCCATTTTGACAAATGTATACAATTGTGATACCACCACTAACATAAAGCTCTCTCATATCCCAATACTGGCAAAGCTCTGATAGGGGTTTATGTCCTTAGATGCTCCCTGAAAGCTCCTAGCCCAGGGTATGTACTCAGAAACATGGACAAAAGACTTCAAAAAAACTAAGAGTGGGAAGTTCTTGAACTTAGGGGCGGTGGTGGTAAACTCCCTGGAAGTGTGTTGAAAAAGAAGGCCCATTTTTCATTCTCAAAAGAGCTCATAACCCTGACATGCAAATGACTCGCATGTACAGTCATGTGCCACTAATGTTTCTGTCAAGAATGAAGTGTATATATAAGAAGGTGGTCCCATAAGATTATACCATATTTGCTTTACCATACACTTTCTGTGTTTAGACACACAAATACCACTGTGTTACAGTTGCCTATAATATTCAGTACAGTAAGATGCTGTACAGGTTTGTAGCCTAGGAATAATAAGCTATACTATGGAGCCTGGCTGTGTAGTAGGCTATACTACCTACTGTAAGAACACTCTATGATCCCAAATGATAACATCACCTAATGATGCCATTTCTCAGAATGCATCCCGTTGTGAAGCTACCCATGAGCTACTCATAAATGCAAAGCCCAACTATCAGATGCTGTTAAAGGAAAAATAAATTGATCAAAGAACCTTCAAAACACAAATGCCTTCAGCAGACAGGTGTATTTTTTAATAAACCTGAACCAACAAATTCTTTACTCAAATGAAATGTCACTTGTAAGCTCAGTATTTCCAACCACTGAAAAGGGAAAATAAGTAGGTGGGTGAAGGTAGGCTCATCTTGAGTCCCTCCTATTTCCAGTATCATGCCCCAATCTCTCTGAAAAGGAGCCCTAAGAGTAGTTCAAAACCATACCTCCAAAAACAAGTCTTTGCTGGCAATTTTCTTGATATGTTAGCAAAAATAGTTTATAGTTCCACTGTCACAAAAAGACTTATGTTCCAACATTTTTGTCTTACTTAAAGCACTAAGTGAAGATATTCTGCTAAATGTCAAGGAGTCAGGCGCCGTGGCTCACGCCCATAATCCCAGCACTTTGGGAGGCTGAGGTGAGAGGACTGCCTGAGCCCACGGGTTCAGGGCAACTTGGCGAGACCTCATCTCTACAATTAAAAAAAAAAAAAAGAAAAAAAATGAGTTGGGCATAGTGGCGCGTGCCTATAGTTCCAGCTACTTGGAAGGCTGAGGTGGAAGGATTGCCTGAGCCCAGTAGGTCAAGGCTGAGGTGGCCGTGAGGCACAACACTGTACTACAGCCTGGGTGACAGGGTGAGACTCCAACTCAAAAAAAAAGAAAAAGAAAAAAGGTATTCAAGTTAACTGGTGACAATATGTTAGACCAAAAATCTTAGGCTCAACATGCTCTGGGGAACAGCATGAAAATAAGCGTGCATGTGTTGGGGTGAGCAGAGTTTATACTTTATGCCAGATTTGTGCTAAGTGAATCCACCTCTATTTTAAACACGATAGGGACTTTCAAGCCCAGGAGTTCAAAACCAGCCTAGTTAACACAATGAGACCTCGTCTCTACAAAAAGTCAAAAATATTACCAAGGTGCTGTGGTACACGCCTGTAATCCCAGCTACTCAGGAGGCTGAGGCAGGAGGATCACCTGAGCCCAGGAGGTCAAGGCGGCAATGAGTCGTGATCGTGCCACTGCGCTCCAGTATGAGCGACAGAGACCCCAACTAAAAAAAATAAATAATACTCTATGAAAACCTTAGATTCTCTTTATCAGATGCTTTAGAACAGTAAATCTATTTAACAGAAGCTCTAATGATTACTGGCATCAAAAAAAGTGTTCTCCACTCACAAGCACTTGTAAGTTATTTTTATGACAAAACACCTTATTAGTAGATGGTTGAGAGAAAGTAGATAATTTCACACTAACACAGTAGCTATAATCACAATACTATTCCTATTAATAAGTAATTTCCTCTTGGACTCTTGGCTGGGAAGAAAAAAGAATGCAACATTCCTTATTTACACCTTCATATTGGTGTTTTTTTGGTAATACATTTTCCATGAAGAGCTGCCAAAAGAAACAAGAGACTCCAAAGAACCACACTGCTCCCTGGAGCCTTCCATGAGGCTGCCGAGTCCTCATGTTCAGCAAGAGGGTAGCAAGAGTAGTGGCTGCAGCCGCTGGGCACTTGCCTTGTTACACACCTGCTACAAGGGCTTCTACAGTTGATTGTACTTCAGAAGAAACTGACACATCTCTCAAATAATCACAAGATAATTCTGGCAGCAACAGCCCACTTGACACCAAGCTGGATGAATATGAGTCTTGGATTTCTGTGGAGACCTCCCTGGAAGTAGAACAGGGAGAGCTGAAAGGTTGAGAATATTGTTTCAGAGACACCTAATCAGGAAACCCAACCTTAATACACCAACCACTCTTCTAAAAGGACCTTTACTCATTAAAAATGAGAACTTAAGGTACTTCAAAATTTATACTACCACTGTTATTCTGAAAATGCTTAAGAGTGCATGTGTTGCACACTTTATTTTTACATAGGTATTTGATGAGTTAGCACTCAATTCACAGCTTTAAAAACAGACAATGCTGTTGAAGCCCCTCTGCATTCTACCTAAAACAGAAAAAAAATGTTACTTACCACACAGAATATTTTAACAGTAACTGACCAGAAGAGCACTAGAAGGGGATTTTCAAGGATGACTTTGGCAATATGAATGCTGAGTGTTGAGGACTACAGAAAGTCTGAACCACTTAAAAAAAAAAAAAAAAAGTTCCAGGAAGCTACACACTGAAACTAGTAGGAAATTTCAATAAATTGGGTGATCATAAGATTATATAAACTTCTGTCACCCTGGACCCAAAATAAGTGATGGACCGTTAACAGCCTACATCGAGACCATGGGGTTGCTTCAACAGGAAAGCCAGTAATCACAATAAACACCCTTAAACTTATTTTTCAGGTAATAAGGCTGAAAAAAACTGAGTAATGCTAGAGAAAGAAAACTAAAGGTGACTGATGAAGTCTTATTTTAAAAAAGAACAAAAATAAACATGCATATAAGGGAGTCTGAAAAACATTAAAGGGAATAAACTGATAAGTACTCATGTAAAGGCTGTCCAATGAAATGCCTCACAATACATATTACAATATACCTTAATGAGTGCTAACATTATAAGGGGGGAGAAAACAAAATTTTTATAGCAATATTACTTTTGAATGGGTAACTGACACGATTAAACTCTCTTAAAAATGCTGACTATTAAATGTGAAGACTAAATTCTTTTTCTGGAGAAAATGTGTGTGTAACTGCACAAGTGAAGTACTTAAGTCCCTTTTGGCAATTACTATGTGATAGCATTAAAGATAGTGATTATACTACAACACAAAGTGCATAACTATATTGATTTCACGTTTTCTCGCTTTTCTGGTTTCAACTAAGCATAGAGAATAATGATTTAAAAAGAAATGCACTATTTTGGTTACATAACAAGGAATGTTACATACTATTTTGGTCATCTTATGGCTGAGCTCATTGTCTACCTTCACTCTATTCCCTCAAAGAAAATGTATTTATTATATATACAATATATGCTAAGTAGCTAAGACCAGATTAAGCAGCTATTAAAAAGAACCACTTAGAAGTTCCTGGACATCTTCCATGTAGTGGTGGGTGCAACCCCCTCAGAATTGGTGTAGACATTTTCCTAAATATCATTCCCCTGTTATTTGGCAGTTCTATTTGTCTATGTGATCTTAAAACAATGGTAGTGTGCTACATTCTGGTACAAGAGTCCTTAATCTGCTGATTGGCAATTTAAGCAGTAATGATCTGGGTAGTAGCGTCTAGAACACATATCGGGAATGAAACTGCTAGGCTGTTAGTGACAAATGATTTAAGTCTTCTGCTCATTTTTCTATTGCATTTTTGCCTTTTATTATTGAGCCGTAGGACCTGCTTATGAATTTAGGATAGCAAACATCTTTAATCTTGAGTACTGTTTGTTTGGAAATTGTTTGTTATAGTTTTCATGTTGAACCTAGATGACAAGCTAAAAAGATACCATACTTATTTAGGACCTCTTTACAAATTGGGTATCAGAAGATCCATGCAGTAAAGAGTAAGAAGTAGATAAAAAAGTAACCTACAGTCAACAAAGTTAATTAGTATCAACTTCAATCTATATAAGCAGAGTTATAGTAAGGAATTGTATCAGAAGAATATGCTAGGTAACTATGGAATTCAACTAGAATATAAAACCAAAAAAGCCCTTACAATTTAGAAACAGGACCAGGTGCAGAGGCTCATGCCTATAATCTCAGCACTTTGGAAAACCAAGGTGGAAGATTTGATTGCTTGAGGCCAGGAGGAGTTCAAGAGCAACCTAGACAACATAGCAAGACCTCGTCTCTACAAAAATAAAAATAAAAAAAAATTAGCTGGGCGTGGCAGCACACCTGCAGTCCCAGCTAATAGGGAGGATGAGGCAGAAGAATCACCTGAGCCCAGAAGGTTGAGGCTGTGGTGAACTATGATTCTGCCACTGCATTTCAGACTGAGCAGAGTCCCTGACCCAAAAAAATAAAAATAAAAATTGAGGGGCCTGGCACTGTGGCTAACATCTGTAATCCCAGCTACTCAGGAGGCTGGGATGAGAGGATTGCTTGAGTCCAGGAGGTCAAAGCTGTGGTGATCTGTGACTGTGCAACTGTACTCCAGTGTAGGCTACAGAGTGAGACTATGACTCAATCAATCAAATAAAATAAAGTTTTTATCAGACAAATCCAATGAGAAAGAACAATGAAAATGTGTAATTTGTAAAACTCTTATTAATAGATATTTCAAGTAAGACTGATGATTATGGCTCATAACTATCCTAGAGCAGTGCTAATAGAACTCTGATGATTAAAATAATCACTAGCTACACAAAGCTTCCAAGCATTTAAAATGTTGAGCTCACACAACTGAGAAATTGACTTTTAATAGTATTTAGTTTTAATTTATTAAACTGAAATAGCCACCTGTCTACTGGCTATTGCTCTGACAAAGCAGTTTTAGAAGATGTTGTTTTCAAACCTCTAGGAATCAAGTCCACATATCACATTAAAAAACCACAGCCCCCAAAATGACTTTGCTCAAGGTAACAAAGATCATTTTACAAGTTAACAAAGCTGGACTATAAATGAACAAAAGGCAACAAAGTTCCACAGCAAGTAGTCCTGAAGCATGTGCTTATGTAAGACAAGCCAAAAGGTTTAAAGCAGAGCATTCCAAAATGATTTGCTGTCTTGGCTCCTGTTGCAAGTCAGTCAGTTACAGGCATTTCAAACCTTCTGGGTGCTGGATGTGGCCTGGGCAGGTTGACTGACCATCCTAATCCTTGGAACTCAATATGCTATCCAAGTATTTTTCTATTCATGCACAACATGAAGGACACTGGATTAGAGAAAAGGATGGTTACCTCTCTGCTTCGGTTAACTTGTGACAAATACCTTGATTTGAGTGGGCATGGATGACCTCAGAATGGAAGGACAAAATACCTGTTTCTTGGGCCTTACCAGTAAGTGAGCACTTCACTTGGAAGAGCCTCCTGAGGTTCCCTAGAGCAGCTTCCTATCACATACCTAGATTTTGCAGTTTATAAACATTTCTCATACATACAGTATCATATTCATTCCAACAGAAGTTAACTGTCACAAAATGTGACTTGGGGGTGGAGTGGAGTTTGATGTGCAAGAGAAAGCCCACCCAAACTGTAAAACTCTGAAACAAGACCAGGTTGGGTGAAGACAGTGTGAGGGAACACATAGATTGGTAGTCACTATTCATTTTCTCAGCTCAATTATCCTCTTAATAAATGCAAAAACCATTTGTCCCCTTAAAAACTGGTCTATACTGCTCTCCAATCTTTTTGAGCCTCCTAGAAAAAACTTCTACATTTGCCCAAAACAAGAATGCCACATCCCTAAAACTCTGCTTACCCATTAACATTCTATTATTCACACTGTGCTTGTATATAGTATTTTTCTGCTACTTTATGCAAGCAGTGAAGCACTATTAAACATGACTTTATATATGTCGGGGGATACACACACTTTTAACATCTGCATATTCCAATTAACAGTGAAACACAAGGAAGGAACACTAGTAAATTCATAAAGAACATTTTTCCTAGTTAAAATAATCCTAACTTAGGTAGGGCATGTGTAAATACTACAAATCAGAAGGCAGAATGTGAACATTTTAAACGTGAATGTTTGTATTAGAAGTTCCTACATGAACCAATAACAACCAGGCAAAAAAAAAAAAAAAAAAATTCTAAAGCAAACTTTTAAGAGTGCACTTAAACAAACCAATTAACCAAATTCCTTTTCCATTATTTAGATAGTTCACAAAATTAAAAGGTATATGATAATGGTGAATTCAATTTGACTTCACCAGATCCACTATTAGAAGCAAATTTAGTTTTTGAAGTTTCAAAGTATTTTCCATTAGACTAACTTATTCATTTTAACTGGAGATGTATCCAGAATAGCTGGAAACTAGCCCCCTGGAAAAAAACTATATTCTAGCATTAAGCCCTACGAAATTTCTTAAAAGACATGCCAAAACTTTTCCATAATTAGGGGCCTATCACATGAATCTGAGATATTGCCATTAAACTATTTTGTCAAGATAGTTTTACAGTGCTCAAATACTACAGCATACATATTCTAAAGAAAAGCTCTGAAGGAAAAAGATGTATTATGTAAGCAACTTTCAAAGTTTCCAGATACTTAATGAAATGAACTTTCTAAAAATTCAGATGGCCAAATCTTAAATCTTGAAGCCAATCCTGTAGCTCTGACTACCTGAACAGAAATCCTACTGGGAGTCCAAGCACAGTGGCTCACATCTATAATTCCAGCACTTAGGGAGGCCAAGGCTAAAGGATTTTCTGAGCCCAGAAGTTCAAGACCAGCCTGGGCAACACGGTGAGAGCTCATTTCTATAATAAATCAAAAAATGAGTTGGGTGTGGTGGTGTGTGCCTGTAGTTCCAGTTACTAGAAAGGCTGAGGCAGAAGGATTATCTGAGCCCAGTAGGTCAAGGCTTTGGGTGAGCTGTGATTGTGCCACTGCACTCCAGCCTGGGCAACAGACAAGATGAGATGATGAGACTCTGACTGACACACTGACACACACACACACACACACACACACACACACACACACACACAGAAATCCTACTGGGATACTGGAGTATGATACAGTTCAAACAGCTCATATAGCTACATGTACTTTGCAACGTTGTATGCCCAAGTAACTTCCACAAAGGCCAATGTTTTAAGTCCTCTTAATGGTTTCCAAATAGTGTTGGTCTACAATAATTAATCTCAGGATTTCCGTGTCTAGTAGAACAAACTGTTGTTGATATGTAAGTATAATACATTTCTGGAATGTGGAATTTTTTCCTGCCAATTTTACTAATTCTAGTCAAGAAACCTTTGGGACTAAATATCTTTCTGAATTCAAGTTTCCCAGATTTTAGAATAAAGTAGTATATATACTTTATATATATTATGTAATACTCTCAAAGAGAATATGAGTCAGCACCCTGTAATCACAGTATTTCTGCAGCAAAATTCAGGAATATTAGCCCTAAATAGGCTAAGTAAAGGTAAAAATAGCCTCAAATCAGCACAGATTCAGGTCAAGTTTTCCCATATTAGTTTAGGTCACAACAAAGAAGCTACAAAAATTTTTAGGTCTTTTTAGATTTCAAAATTTTATGAACATGGAGTTGTGGACCTGTATAGCAAACATTAAGTACGAGAGTTTTGTTTAACATGATATACATTGTACCTGGGCATAATAAATTTAGGAGTCAGTTTCAAGAGAGGATCCCAGAATTTGCAGAATAATAAATACCTTTAGCTTCTATCTGCTCCTATTCGCACTCCCCCAAAAGGAGGGGGCACTGTGGACTTGCCCAGTCCTACAATATTAATTAATCTAAAGACTACTTTTCCCTGATTTGACAGAAACATTCACTACTATATCAGCTCACTGATATCAGTCTCTCAAGTCTCTAAGAGGAAACATCACTAGAAATATTAAATATAATGCAAGTTTCCATTAAAGCTAGAGACTTAAAGAAGGTTTATCCTTTATTATGGTCTTCCTCAAAAGATGAAGCTTGTTCTTAAATTTCCAGCTTAGAATCTACTCATTACTATGATTGCAACTAGATTCCACCCCCCAAAAGGTTTTAACTCTCCAAGTCACTTTGGGAGAAAAACATCAGCTACATGGAAGTAGGACATGTGGACTAACAAAAATCAAACAGCACCCTTCGTACTAAGATGGTGACAATCTTGTTTCTTTTTAATATGCATACAAGCCACCTGGATAAAATGCAGATTCTGATTTAGGTTTGGGGGGAGCTGAGATTCTACATTTCTGTCGTAATGCAGCTCATCTAAAGACTAGACTATAAAAAAACTGTTCCAGTCCAACTTTATTTTATATATGGGATTTTAAAAATAAGCATTTGCTCAAATTTACATAGGTAGGAGAAAACCAGTATGGGAAACCCTCCAGTGAGCACTCTAAGGCATAACTTTCAAGAAATCCTACTATTGTTTTTCCTTCTCTTTAAACTTAAAATTCTAAAAATTTTTTAAAAGTCTAAAATTCGAATTTGCATTAACATCAAATAAATTTTAAAGGTTTTCTTGAACATACTCAAATGAAGTAGAGAAAACATTTTTATCCAATAGTCTGTTTAACAAGCTCAGTCTAAGGAAATACTAAATTGATACCTTCAGCTTTCCTGAAAATTTCTAATGCTATTATTTCAAGTCTCTAGTCAACTTAAAAAATCCAAATTTCAACACCAAGAACTCTATATACTACAAATGTTTTAAATGGATCAACCACACAAATCTAGCAGCTCAAATTCTGTTTACTGTGGAATTGTATTTTGCACATGGGCTCAAATTCTAAAGTTGATTCCATACACAGAAAACCAAGTATAGTCAAAAACTATCCATGAAAATCTGTTTAGGAAGTGGTAGACATATATATCATCTTCCAGTAATTCCTCTAAAAAATAATCAGTTTTCCTTACCAGCTGAGTATTATACAAAATCATTTCATGAAAAAGAATATAAACTCTAGAAAATCACACTGAGTCTGATGTTCATTAATCAGAAAATAAGATTAAGAATAAACAAGATGTTCATTGACCAGAAATATAAGAGCCAAAATTCATTTTTCAAATCCCATGCTCAAGGGTATATAGCTTTACTTGAGCAGATGAGAGTAGAATCTTTTGCTCTATTTAAAAAGTCCGATTTATTTCTGATGAAGCCCAAATATCTGAATCCACCAACTAAGTCAATAGTTGAAAGATCTTAAACCCCAAAATCCCTCTTTAACTTATATTACATTAACATCTGGACTAATATCGCCTAAAACTTATCCTGCAATACACTTAAATATAGTAATATTTTTGTGTATTCACAATAAGGACAACTAAATCAGTGAAGTCTGTAACCTGAAATTGTCACGTCTCCTTTTTATAACCTTTAAAAGAGATTTAAGGGTCACTATATTTGAAGTAAATACAATTTGAATTCTGAGAAATACTGAGTAATGCAGTACTCTTCTTCAATTTTGCAAGACCTCCCCTACTGGTGTGAATACTCACATGGACAAGTTGGGAGATGGAACCCCCCTATCATCAGCTAGGTTCCCAAGGTGGCTCAGCGTTGAAGTCGAACTGCTCTCTATACAGCACTTCTCCTAGGCCCTCTGGGTAGTTGTATACTTGGTCAGAAAGTTCGCCCTAAAAGAAAGAAATACAAGCAGCAGAAGATGGTCATATGCTTAAGAAATGTTAGAATGGCTTAAAAGTGAACTGTAGAATAAGTACTAGCTTTAACAGAGTATTTCACTGAAGTCACATTACACAAACGATGTCTTCAGAGGGTTTCTCACAATACCAAGAACTTCACACAGTAAACATTGCCAGGCTGTCGCACTACAAAATTCAGAGCTTGACATCATGGCCATAATACCAAGTCGTTTTTAATCGACTTATTCATGAGGTCCCAGCCTTCATCTAATTTCATTTTTGTCCTCCAAAACCCCCAAATTTTAAGTGGCCTAAAATTTTAAAATGCCCAAGTACCCCACCAACCAAGTCTTGTGTATATGCAAGACTTTATATGCATAATGCTCAAGCATGATCTAGTACCAAAGACTCTTTTACTCCTCAAATTCTTCACTTCAGACTTAAAATTCCACCACAACACCAAAATGAAAGAGATTTTATGACTTAGCTAATACATTATGTATCTGAAAATAACTTCTAAGAACTACCATATACTATTATATGGCAAGTAACCTCTTACGAGTCATCTCATATCTAACCTATTTAGATTTACTTCTGTCTGTTATCACTAGGAGCATATAAATGCTTGACACACTATGCAAAATGCTAGAAAAGTTTCAGTTACCATTCATTATGGTTTGACTGGAAGGACTTATCCCTGAGCTAAAACACTATACCTGTATTTCTTTCTGAATTCAGTGGTTACTGGTTAAAACTAATACAGTCTGGCAGCATTTGCTAAAAAGGGTGGTGAGAAAGAAACCAGAAATATTATAAAACTAGAAATCGTAAGAGTTTGAGGGATTTCAGAAGCACTCTAAGACATACGTAAAAAGCATATCTCACTTCAACCAGGATCAAGGCATCTTTGAGAGAGGTAAAATGCTCCCTCTATCAAGTAGGGGAAACTGATCACACTCTCAATGACACTTACAGATGATGAGGAAAGAACCCATACCACATGCAATGATGATTATAATCTTAGATTCTAAATGTACTTACTACTCTACAACAAACTTTCTTCCCACACCAAGATAAGTTTAAAAACAAATAAAAAGTCAACTTATGCTGGGGACAGTACATTCTCAACTTTCCCGAGAAATAGGATTTACATTATTCATCTTGTCCCAATACATATTTTGCTCCCTAATGCAATCCAGGAGCAATGATGTGAAACAGTAAGAACACTGAACCCCACACATTCCAGAATGTTCAGTGAGGACTCTAAAACATTTTGATTTTAAAAATATATATACTAATAGGGAATGAAGGTCCCCAAATTTGAAAGGCACATTTTAGTAGAAAAATATACGAGAAAGGTCAGGCACAGTGGCTCACACCTATAATCCCAGCACTTTGGGAGGCCAAGGTGGGAGGATTGCTTGAGTCCAGGAGTTTGAGACCAGCCTGGGCAGCATACCAAGACCTCACCTCACAAAAAATTAAGAAAAAATTAGTCAGGTGTGGTGGCGCATGCCTGTAGTCCTAGCTATTCCAGAGACTGAAGTGGAAGGATCCCCTGAGCCTAGGAGTTTGAGTCCAGCCTGGACAACACTTAAAGACTGTCTCAATAGGACAGAAAGAAAGAAGGAAGAAAGGAAAGAGGGAAAAGAAATGGAGTAGATAAGCAGGACGTTTACACACAGGATAGATGGAATGTTTATCCGGACAATAATGATGAAGCATAGAAAAGGTTAAATGGAAATGTGAAGAAAAAGCAGTATGAAAAAAGGTAAATTATTCTTAGAATGGTATGTGTAAACATTTCTATCACATTCCTTAAAAATCATTCAGAGAATTTCTCTAGCTACACCTTAGAGAATAGCATAAGGAAGGACTTCACTTGACTGAGTGAGCAGACCAGTAGGACACTAAAAACCTTCTACCACTTTAATGATAACTACCCAAAACTTAGTATCTCAAAATTATCAGTATTCCTCTGAAAATACATTACCTTTACCAATGGTTTTTAAAGTTTCTCTATGGTACTTTCTAAAAACTTCAAACCTAAGTCAAGTCAAGAGGTGGGGAAAATCAGATAAATCCGAGTAGGGAGGATTATTATGCCAGATACCTAGGCAAGTAATTCTCTAAACTGTGGTGGTCACGAAAGGCAAGAGAAGACTGAGAAACTGTCATATACCAGAAAAAACTGGGGGAGACATGACAATTAAATACAGTGTGGCAACCTGGATTGGATTCTGGAACATTAGAAGGGACATTCAAGAAAAGCTGGTGAAATTCAAAGACAGTCTGTAATTTAGTTAATAGTACCAAAGTCAGTTTCTTAGATTTGACAAATGTATCATGATAATTTAAGCTGTTACTAAGTAAACTGAGCGAGAAGTATGCAGAAACTGTATCTTTGCAACTTTTCTGTAGAAACAATCTACTGATAAATGTAACACGGATAAATGTCCAAAAAATGTGCTGAGTTAAAGAAGCCTTTTACACAAAAGAATGCGTACTGTATGATTCCACTAATATGGAAATTCTACAGCAGGCGAAACTAATCAGCAAAACGGACCTTTTTTTTTTTCTTCTTAAAAAACCAGAACCATGGTTGCTTCTAAGGGAAATGGGAGTCTGAAAGAACAAGAAAAAATTCTGGGTCACACAGCTGTATTTCTGCCAAAACTCATCAAATGGCATACTTAAGATTTGTGAGTTTTAAAAGTATGTGAATTTTACTCCCACCAAATTTAAAAAAAAAAGTAAACACTATTGAGCTCTATTTAATGGTATATACATACTAAAGTTGGAGCAGCAGAGTGTTTTAGTGTCTCCAACTTACTTTGAAATGCACTGAAAAATTAGAAAAGGCAAATATAGCAAATTGTTAATTGTAAAATCTAGGGGAAGATACAAGTCTTTCACCTTCTATGTTTGAAAATGTATATGTAAGATCTCGGGAAAGAAAGGCACTGATCGCTTGATTTCATTTATCACAGCACCCGTAATCATTCATTTAGGAGTCAGTCTTTCTTACTCAATGTAAATTCCTCAGAGCTTATTTGTCTTCATGACCAACATGTGCACGCTCTCATGTATGTAAGAGAAATGAAAGCATTAGAGCCTCTCTAGACAGACAATCATTTCTACCAGGCTTAGTCCACATCAGCCTTTGCCGAACACACAGCAACTCTCTCTGGAGTCCTTAAGATTCCCACCCTAGCCTAGAGACCTGGAACGGTCGGGGACGCAGAACTTAACGCACCCCAGATGCCACCGCAAGACCCGGTTAAACCTGCTGGAACATCGTGGGGGTGCAAACTACGTCCCCGACCGTTCCAGGTCTCTGCACCAGCAGCCTCCTCTGAGAACCGCAGGTTCAGCATACATGCCGCGCAAGGGTTAGAACACGTCACCACCATTAACTGGCAGCCCGGACGGTGCCTGATAAGCCTCGGAGCCTGAGCCTACCCTACCCCTGCCGCTCTCCCTCCTGCTGCCCAGGAATCGTGGCGCGGACGGCAAAACGAAGCCGTGGTGACTAATCCCCGGGCTCCAAAGGGTGGCCGGGGTGAGTGAAGGCGACCTGACCCAATCAGGAGCGCCGCAGGGGCGGAGCAGCAGCCCCCAGGCTTCCCGGAGGGGCCAAGGGCCTCTCGCTCGCTACCTGACACCGGGGCTTCCCCGCCGCCCGGCGGCCGGCGGCGTCAACTTTCCTCCACCAGAGGGGGACCGCGCTCCCCGCAGCCCCCAAG